ATCACGGCTCCCACTGGCCGCGGTTTGCCGTCCCAGGCCAATGGGGGAAGCGGCGCGGGCTGAGGGATGTGCTGGCCGCCCTTCCCGCAGCCCCCATTGGCCTGGAGCGGCGAACCGCGGCCAGTGGGAGCTGCGATCGGCCAAACCTGTGGACGCGGCAGGTAAACAAACCAGCCCGGACCGCCAAGGGCTTTCCCTGAACAAGCGGCGGCCCGACTTTGAGAAGCACTGGTCTAGATCATTAGTCCTGCCATGAGTGCAGGGGACTGGACTAGATGGCCTCTTGAGGTCCCTTCCAGTTCTATGATTCTATGACATGCCTTGTTTTCCCATCTGTAAAATGGGGATTACTTCTCAGGGGCGTTTTGAGGCTAAACTCACTAGCACATGTGAAGCACTTTTAGACCCTTGGGTGGAAGGTACAGTAGAAAGGTATTGTAACAAACAGAATTATATTAAAATAACATTAGACTTTTCTTTCTGAGTGCCTCTGCTCACACATTTCTTCCCGCTAACAATGAATTTTGACCACCAAACCTATGTATATTCATAATTTTCTTTGTTTTTTAAATAAAACAGAAATTTGTGTAAAGGAGTTGGAGCAGTGATAACTTGGAGCTTATCACTGATGGTCTTACCTGATAGTCATATCTTTTAAAAAGATACTAAAACAACTTTTAAAATAGATTGGAATGCATCTTGTTGGCTCCTAATAAATGGCATACCTGTTTCATTGGGATGACTGTCAGGAAACCGATTCAAAATGATGGTTTAATGACACACCTAGTCTACTTTCATGGCTCACATAGTGTAGTCTGCTGGTGACTTATCAGTATTCAGGTGAGTTTATACTACAAACTTTGCGCAGCTGGCCCTGTCTATATTAGAGGAACTATTTTAACAAAAAAATTATATGAATGAAAACTAGTGTTGTACAGGAAAATAAGTGTTAGCTATATGTATGCAAAATTAAGACGTACCCAGGTGTTCCTGGTACTCTCACCCATGTGATTCTCTAATAGTGGCTTGAAAATTGGCTGAACCTACAGGGCACGTCACATAAACTGTTGTAGTAGATGTAGGCCCGTACTGTAGTCGCAAAAGAATGTTTAGTTCACTCTACATATAGACCTTTATTGCATTGTCAGACTAGGATCTTAAAATTCTTTGGCACTTTCTAAGTAATCTTGTTTTTATGAAAACTATTAAAGGATTTCATTCAAAAGGTGGAATGAAAAAGTCCTTTGAGGAGACTTGCAAACTCTGCTCTAGAGTCTTAAAGTAACTTCTTCATTATAGATGACACAGAGCCTCAGGACAGCAGGGATATGGTATGAAATTTAAAGCTGCCTGAGACAGATGCCTCGTGGAAGGGTCACTATCTGATTATTAAATATTAAAAAATTCTGTTTGTTCATTCTTTAGTTACTCTTAAATAGCACTCTTTCAAGGGTGGCTGATAGTTACATAATCTGCTTCTGAAGTATCACTTTCACAAATAATATAGACCCTATAATTCTAAGTGATCTGATTAAAGGAGTTGAGTGTGGGGTGTGATGGGAAGTGTGGGGAATAGGAGATGGCTTTAATTATGCTTAGTAAAGATTTTGTCACAAATATTTTTAGTAAAAGTCACGGACAAGTCACGGGCAATAAAGAAAAATTCAGGGAAGCCCGTGACCTGTTCATGACTTTTACTAAAAATATCAGTGACAAAATGGGAAGGGAGAAGGCTCCAGCACCCATCACTAGTGCTGGGGTTCTACTGTCCCCTGTCACCCCTGGCGGCTTGGCTGCGGCGTGGCCCCCCTGGCGACTCAGCAGGCGGCGGGGCGAGTGCTTACACAACCCTTATGTGTTGCAGAAAATGTCTCCAGTGACTGAGCCAAAAGGATATACTGGGGATGGTCCATGTTTGCACACCTCCAGTGGCCCCAGTATCCACTGCATAAGGAACAAAAATTTGATAATGGGCTCTTCAGTCTAGTAGACAAAGGTATAACAAGATCCAATCGCTGGAAGTTGAAGCCAGACAAATTGAGATTGGAAATAAGGTGCACATTTTAACAGTGAGGATAATTAACCATTGGAATAATTTATAAGGGGTTGTGGTGGATTTTCCATCACTGACCATTTTTAAAATCAAGATTGGATGTTTTTCTAAAAGTTATGCTCTTGTTCAAACAGGAATTAATTCAGGAAAGTCTGATGGCCTATGTAGACTAGATGATCACTGCGTGGTCCCTTCTGGCTTAATAATCTGTGAACAGGTACATGGGGTTTGTGGCCTCTATTTCAGCCTTACAGCCTGCTCCTCATTTGGATGATACAGAGCGCTTTTGGAAACTTGTGCTGCAACGTGCATGTATAATAAAAGATTGCTAGCACATCCTTTGCAAGATTTTTTTTTTCTACATTTCCTCAAATATACCATTTCCTGGAATATTTTTGTTAGTCTTAGACCATAATTTACATAACCACATTCTGCTGTTTCCAGCATGTAATGCTGGGTAGGACAGCTCATATGTATCGCTTTACAATATATCTTTATAGCAATTTTAAAAAAACCAAAACAAAAAAACACCACTGCTGTGAGTCTGTCATCTAGGTCTGTCTCTTGGCTGAAATGACAAACCAAGGTCCTGACCAGATTCCATATAAATCAGTCAAGTTGAATTTGGGCTGGACACTGATACTAGCACATCTAGCGCTTGTTTAAAAATCACCCAAGAGGTAGAGGTGCTAGTGTCAGTGACCCCCCAAATTCAACTTGACTAATTTCAGGGTGAATTTACGTAGGGAGAATGTAGTTTCAGTAGAACAAGGCTTTTGTTTTTTGTTATAGTTTGTCTTAAACTGTTGTGTAGAATTTTGCACTATTCAACAAATGCCACATTCTGCTTTTCTATACTGGTAATTTCCTGAAAGTCTTTCACCAATGCTAGCTCCAAAGGGAGTGCGAGTTCAGGCCAGCCGCCATTGGTTTTTATTGCTGTATCATCTAACTCTGGTTGTTCATATTGTAGCAATTAAACTTTTTCCCCTCCAAAAGTTCAGTGATAAAACCATCTTTTAGCAGAACCCCCACTAAAGAAAAAGGCATTTGTATTTGTATGTACGGTAAATCTGCTTTCTGTTGACACCCTTTGCAACTTCCAGTAGATGAAGGTGTCTTTATATGTGCATACATTTCTTTCTACATGAGAGCTGAGGTTTTCTGTAGTTTCTAAGATTGCTTATGGCATGAACCTTTCACTTGAAAAATTAAGAGCTGCAGGATTACATTTTGGAGTAGAGTAGGAGAGGTTAGTTGCTGTAGAGCACCAAATGCAATCTCTCCCCACACAGGTCCATTCACAGTACTGCTGCAAAAAATCACTTTCGTATCTTATTGCTTTGATCAGATCATCCCTCTCTTTGCATCCCTCCACTCACTCCCCTTTCTGCATCACATCAAACATAAATTGGTTTTCATTTTCAAGGCCATTCACAGCCTACCATATGCTATTGAGATGTTGCCTCCTGCCTCCACTCTACCATTGATGTCAACTTTCATCATCCACTTGTTATATTTTCAAATAAGCACCTTTATGCTTTTGTCTGTCTTGCCCCTCATGCTTGGGAGGAGTTCCCTGTAAGCATGTGCAAAGCTATCGTATTGACCTTATTCAAATCCTTCCTTAAAACGCTCCTTTACCATAAAGCCTACAACAACTTGACAGTGGTCAGACAGCTGATGTGCTGAGATTGCTGCCTGCCACTCATACTGACCAATATTCTTGCTGTTTTTCTTGTGCTTCCCCACCTGTCTGTATCCATCTGTTGTCTTTTGTCTTTGTATTGTAAGCTCTTTGGGACAGGAACTGTCTTTTCGTTCTGTGTTTGTACATCGCTAGCACAGTGAGATTCTGATCTATGCCCAGGGCTTCTAAGTGCTGCTGCAAGATAAATAATAAAATAATTCTCGGCGTAACATTGGGAAAAACGGCTACTTGTCTCTTGATAGGGATGGGGGGGGAGGAGGAAGGAATTGATATATATTTCTTAAATGACTTGTGTGACCCTTGTAACTTTTCTTCTAAGATGATGGAAGATTGTTTATCAAAGAAAATAGAGATCACTGTCTCAGAAGCAGAAAAACGGACTGGAAGAAATGCCATGAACATGCAAGAAACCTACACTGCTTACCTCATTGAGACAAGGTGGGTAATAAGAACTAAGATGAATGTAGGTTAGTAGATGAGCTATTTTTTTTAAAAGGTAGAATAGCTTCTGATTATACATTATTTCTTTAAAACTCCTATTTAGAGTCTAAGTGCAGTTACAGTGAGAGAACTGGGTTAGTTTCTGCTTTCAATTATACAATGATCTATTTATGTAGGAAATAGTACAACTTTTTATGTGAAAATGTGGCAGGTGACAAAGGGGTAGAGAAACTCTGGGCTGGTCTACACTCCGGGGGGAGATTGATCTTAGTTATGCAACTTCAGCTATGTGAAGTCAACATATTTAGATCGACTTACCGTGGTGTCTTCACTGCGGTATGTCCCGTCGATTCCCCTTGCGCTTCTCGTTGAGGTGGAGTACTGGAGTCGACGCTAGAGCAATCAGTGGTTGATTTATCGTGTCTATACTAGACACGATAAATCGACCCCCACTGGATCGATCGCTGCCCGTCGATCCGACCGCTAGTGTAGACATGCCCTCTGGATGAGCAGCTCTAATCCATATTGTAGGTAACTGTTCATCCTGTGGTTTTTGGAAGGTGCATCTGAAAGAGTTTTTTGACACTGTGTTAAATAACAACCTTCCTTGTTGCATGCTTGATTCTCAGGGTGAAATGTGCTTGGTCAGAATGTACATTGTGGCTGAAAATAATGATTTGACTTATTTGGCATACAGGAAAGCAAAGGGATCTCATATATTTTGAATTGTGCTAGTTAAGTCAAAACTCATAGCATTTAGCTGTATGCTAAATTTTTTTTTTTTTTAAATGGTACTGATGAAATCAAATTAATGTTTTCCGCTTTGAGGAGCATTTTAAAGTAAGTATTTAATTAACCTACTCCTCTTACCAAGTACCAATTTGGGCATCCTTTTGTTGTTGTTTTAATTGGAAATTGTTTTTGTTGATTAAATGGTTTTTTTTATCAAGTGCTATTAACTGTATACGTAATGCAAATATGGCAAACACATTTCTGTCGATGCAATGAAGACTGTTTGCAATTTTAAATGTTCAAGCAGTAGTGAACGATTGTAAATAAAAACAGGTCAGACTTTTTCACAAGATAGATTTCCACCTGTCGAAGAGTCACTTTGACACCTTTACTCACTTTGGAAAGCACTTTATTCCCTAAGTGGTCCCATTGATGGGACAGCTTGTGGAGATTGCTGCTATTCAAAAAAATAAAAGGTTCACAAACCAGCCCTAGATAAGGTCCTGTACCTGTTGCCATTGACATCAGTAGCATATATATGTATGTATATTTTATGAGTAAATCTGGAAAGCTCAGGTCTACACAGAACTTTGTGAAACTAACAAAGTTTAATGATCTTTTACACAGATACAAAATTAATATATTGTGAGGAATTTAAATGACAACATAAGTGACATTTCCCGTGATATGAGGCACCCCGTTGTTAAGTAGTTAAGTGGCTCTTTAATTTGTAATGGCTTTCAAACATTCCTTTGTAGGATAATTTATTTCACACTGATTGTTGATACTGTAAAGCTACAACTTACTCATGCAGAAATACCTGTTCTATATTATGCTAAATTCTAAGAATAGGTCATGACATCTTTTTTGTGCATCATGCCTGTATATGTTAATAGAGTACAGGTTCTCTCTCACTTTGGAAGTTTAACTTCTTAAAAGTGAGGCTCCAGGAGAGAAATTCCTGCTTTATTTGTATTTATGGGTGTAACATACATATTTCCCACTACTGTAGCTTTGGGTAGTTGGTTACATGTGCATTTATAAAACCATAGGATTATTTTTTCTTTAAAATGGACTATCTTAAAGTTAGGGATGTGATGAATCTTTCGTTCAGATAAAAATACCATTTTGCCAGTATTTGTATTTGACAGCTAGGGAAGAGCAAAATCTAAATAGTTCTAGTGGCTAGCTGTGATATGAAGCGCACTTTGGTGTGCCTCTGTTAGAGCTGGGCAAAATTTTCAGATCACACTTTTTTTTTGCCAAAAAATGCATATTTAAGGTTGACCAAAATATTTTGCAAATAATGTCAAATTCACGAATTGTTGTGGCTGAAAATACCAAAACAATTCTGGGGGAAAAAAAACCATTCTATTTCAATAATTTCAAAACAAACATTTTGATCTTTTTCTTTTCAGACTGATTTTTTCCTTCAGTTTTATAAAGGAAAAGCCTTCAAATGAAATATTTTGGGTCGAACGAAATGTTTTGTTTGACCTGAAACAAATTTTTTTCTGGTTCGGCCAAACTGGAAAATCAGTTGTTAGCACAACTCTAGTCTCTCTATAGAGCCCCAAACCATGCTGATGCCTTCTCCAGTTCCCATCATTTTTCCTTGCGCAGCTCTTTCCCAGTGCCAGAGATGCCTCTCGTTGCCCACGTTCCCGCTTGCTACCATTCAGATTCTTATTCAGTGGTCAGCAACTACTAAGGTCAATTACACAGTTGTCAGACAAATACTGAAAATGTGGATTTGTCCCATTCTGTTTGCAGGCTATTAAACTTGCATCATAAATGTAAATTTGAGTGGGCTTCACAATATGCCTGAAGATAATAGGATATTTTGATGTTCTGTAGCTAAGGAATAAAATTCAGTTCACAATAGTATGAAAGAAGAACATTCAGTAACAGTTGCATTATATTTACGATTATCCATGGGTTCCAAGGCTTCCACTGTCCAGGTTTTAAATATGGGGTTGTTGGTTTTTTTTTAAGTCAAATTGTACAAATAACTAAGAGTGAACTAAACTTGAATGTGGCAGCTGTAGACAAAAAAGCGAATAGAAAGTTGGGAATCATTAAGAAAGGGATAGATAAGACAGAAAATATCATATTGCCTCTATATCAATCTCTGGTACACCCACATCTTGAAAACTGCGTGCAGATGTGGTTGTCCCATCTCAAAAAAGATATATTGGAGTTGGAAAGAGTTCAGAAAAGACCACAAAAATGATTAGGGGTATAGAACGGCTTCCGTATGAGGCGAGATGAATAAGACTGGGACTTTTCAGCTTGGAAAAGAGATGACTAAGGGGGGATATGATGGAGGTCTATAGAAACATGACTGGTGTGGAGAAAGTAAATAAGAAGTGCTATTTACTCATTCTCATAACATAAGAAGTAGGGGTCACCAAATGAAATTAATAGAGAGCAGGTTTAAAACAAACAAAAGGAAGTATTTCTTCACACACCGCACAGTCAACCTGTGGAACTCTTTGCCAGAGGATATTGTGAAGGCCAAGACTATAACAGGGTTCAAAAAAGAACGAGATAAATTCATGGAGGATAGGTCCATCAGTGGCTATTAGCCAGTATGGAAAGGGCTGATGTCCCTAGCTTCTGTTTGGCAGAAGCTGGGAATGAGCGACAGGGAATGGATCACTTGATGATTACCTGTTCTGTTCATTCCCTCTGGGCACCTGGCATTGGCCACTGTCGGAAGACAGGATACTGGGCTAGATGGACTTTTGGTCTGACTCAGTATGGCCGTTCTTATGAATGTGCCTTGGTAATGGAAGATAAGTATGTGGCTATTGGAAATATACCAAGCTGGGCACACGTACAAACTGAGCCGCGAGAAGACCTAATGTGTTTCGAACTATCCCTGGGAGTCAGTGAAACCCACTAACTGGTTTGTTTCAAAATGCAAGTGATGGTATCTCCATCTTCCTTTAAAATTCACTGCATACATCCTTTTCCTAAAGTTTCACCCACACCATCATCTGATGGGATTTCCTTATTGATCTGTTGTTTATCAGTGACCATTAGAAAACTTGGTGTGGATTTCTTTCTCCGACAACACATTGCAGCACTGTAGGCTGCGAAAGTCCAGCACATCTCAGCTGTCGGACTTCCCAAAAGGATCCCATTTTATTTAAATTCTTGGTTTACATTGTTAGCATTGACTCAATAGATCTTACGGATAAAACTTTTTTTCTTCCGTTTTTCTATTTTCTAACAGTCCTGAGAAAGCGTATCAATATCACAGCTTCCATAAAATCTCTGTCAGAGCACTTGTCCTCTTCAAAGCACTTGATAAACATACATCAGTCTTTGCAATACCCCTTTGAGATAAGTAGGTAAATGCCATCCACATTGTACAAATGAGGGAGAGAAGCTAGGGTGAACATGGGTGCCTAAAAGTCAGGCACCTAAATAATAGTTGCCTGATTTTCAGAGATGCTGAGCACCTGCAACTCCTGCTTCATGCAGGAGGAAATGCAAGTATTCAGCACCTCTGAAAAATCAGGCAACTTTTAATTTAAATAAAAGAGCTTTAGGTACCCATCTGAAAATGTTGATATAAGTGATTTTGTTTGATGACAGCTCTCTTTAGCAGCTTTCAAACCTGCCAGTGTCTGGTAGAAACAACTGAAATGTGAGACAGATGAATGAAATGTGGCCCACCTGTGTTCCACACTGCCACAACTGACAAACTATAATGGCTTTTAACCATGGAATCTGTTCAAGGGTGGTTCTCTTTTTAAATCCAGTTGTCTTAAAAAGAAAACTGGAAAAATAGAATTTCTATCATGTGCAACAATAAGGACACCGTCACTTGGGTTGTTGCCAGGGTTTGAACCTAAGACATACAGACCCCTGCTACTTGAGCTAAAGTATGAAGTTTTAGCCTTCATGTGGACCAGCCAGTAGAGGGGGAAGTACTGTAACACATAACATTCTACCACCATAGCAAATAGTCAGGTATCAGGATTCCTGGATTCTAGTCTTGCTTCTGGGAAGAGCGTGGAGTAGTTAGACAGGATAGCCAAGTACTTTAGTTTGTTGCATTCAGTAGGAAAGCCAGTGGGGCAGCATGGCTTTGACCCAAGTTTTGTTTCTAGTTCTGGTAGAAATGATCTTGTAAGCTCTCAGCTAAATTATTTGTAAAATGGGAGAAATAATACTTGCCTCCCCCTAGGGTCTGGGATAGGAGCCATTGCTTAACTGTAAGAGGTTTTAAAGTATATATAAATACAGATAGT